AAAATTTGAAAAAAACTTATAAAAGTATTATTGACAATAATAATAAATCAGGAAGAGGAGTGAAAAATTGGCCATTTTTCAAAGATATGGATCAAATTTTTGCCAAAGATCCAGATGTGAATCCAATTTCAACATGTAGTAACTTGGAAGGCCCATCAACATCTGATCATGTTGACAAGGACACACATGAAAATATAAGTACCTCAAATCAGAATGTACAGGTAATTCCAGTTGAATTCATACTTGTAAATATATGCTTGTGTATTTGGTAGGTCAGAAAATCATTGAATGAGCACTGGGACTATATAATACATGTTAATTATTGTTATTTCCTTACTAGCATAATTGAACTGGTATTGTTTTTAGAATGTTCCTCATGGAGTAAAGAGGAAGAAACGTTCTGGTGAAGAACCTGAGTGGTTCAAGAAGTTCAGGGAGGATTGCCAAAAGCGCCATGAGGAGAAAATGAAAAGACAGGATAGCCTATTACAGATTTTGGAGAAATTGGCAGAAAAGTAATTTCTTGTCTTCAAATTTCCTTTTTTTTTTTAGTTCTTTGCTGTAATCAAGTAGCTACCAATTTGGTTCCCTAGTTTTCCAGAATAATTTTTAAGTTTTTTGTTGTGATATCCAGTACCTATTCAGTTGAATACTCATGCAAAGCAGTTTTTAAGTTTTTTGTTGTGATATTGAGTACCTATTCAGTTGACCACTCAAGCAAAATAGTTTTCAAGTTTTTTGTTGTGATATGGAGTACCTATTTAGTTTTAAGTTGTTTGTTGTGATATTCAGTACCTGAACTACTGGGTTAATAGATGAAAAATATGCTCAATATTTTTGTATGTGAATAAATTAGTTTTTTCATAATATGCAGTATTTTATTAATCTTCTCTCCTAACAGGTAACATTGGAAAAGTGAAACATAGGACTTCAAAATGAGAAATATAATTTACAAAATAATTTGAATTTTTAATTTCTCAAGATAAAATTGAGTATATCTTCATTCACATTCAATATTTTTCAAAATAATTGGTAGGAAATAAACCAAAAGAAGGTAAAAACACTACATTGTTATTTGTTTACAAATAGTATCTCTTTTGTTATATGACGCAGGGTCATCTGGAATTATTTGATTAGTTATTTGTGAATCATCTGAATCATCCAAATATATTTCAATATCCTTGTCCTTATTCTCCATACAAATGTTGTGTAAAACACAACATGCAATTATTATTTCTGGTATGATTTCTGTTCTGTAAACATTAACGAATTTTAAAATTCTGAATCTACCTTTCAGCAACCCAAATGATTGTTCAATATAAACCCTGGTTGCTGAATGGAGGTAATTGTATCTTTTTTGTTGTTGGGTCAGAAATCCATTATCTCTATAGGGTGTAATTAAATTGATGGAATTTGGATATGCTGAATCGCCCAATAAATGATATGCTTCATCAACACCTGGCATTATTTGTCTGAACAATGGAGATAGCCTATATACTCGGGCATCATGAACACTTCCTGGACACCCTAGAAATGAAGAAAATAATCATTATACTAATTTGATGTTATGTTTATATACTACAGTTATAGTGAAGCTGCAAAAATCTGCTGAGATTATGCTCGAGAAATTACCTACAAAGCAATCTGTGAACATATAGGAAGAGTTAGAAACAGCTTGCAAAACAATAGAATGATATTGTTTCCTATTTAAATATTTGTTTGGCATGAATGTTGGAGATACAATAGGAATATGTGTTCCATCAATAGCACCTATGACTCCATCAATTCCTCCTCTCTTCTTGAAGCTTTGAATCACATTATGGTACTGTTCAGGCCATTTGATATAATCTTGAGACACTTGAACAAGAACACTGATGATTCTTTGGAAATATTCCCAGGCTGTACTCAAAGATACATCGAAGCGGTCCGCTACTGATCTAAAAATAGTAATATATTTAATTAGATCTAAACCAATATTAGAGTAACATATTCATTAGCCCCCGAACAGGAACAAGAAGTATAAACAATATCATGTGACATTCTGAAATATTTCAAATATATAAAACATGAAAATTTCCAAAATGCACCAAATCAAAAAGCTTCTTTTCATCTATAACAAATTAACTAAACAAGAAAATTAACATTACCTATACACCTCCTGATTTGCTAACATCCATATCCCTAATAACACACGTTATCCAGACGACATCCATTTTATATCCATTTGCCGTCCAAGACATCCATGGACGCCAAATGGAACTATCTTTTGATGTACATTGTTGTATATCCAGCTGATGATCTAGTATGTACTCCATCTGGAAGCCTATCTATGTCCATGGACGCACATCGAATAGCCACTTGGATGTCCATACGTGATACTTGACAGTACATATTGGACATCCATAAGTGTATTGTCGGGATGTCCATTGGAGCGAGAAATTTTGAGAAGAGTAAAATGAGAAGAAGAAGATCTGAATTCATCTGTTAGAATTCGAAACATAATATAGGTTATGTTTATTTCATTCATTCATTTTGGTGGACTTTCATGATAATTACTAGAATTTTATAGTTGAATTATACCCCAGTTTCCTGCTTTATACGGCCTTCATACAAGTAAGTTCTTATTATTTCTGTGTCTATTCAGGTGTTCCTGATTGCGAATTGTTACGATAACATAACATATTTCTTGGATAGGTAGGTAAAACCACAGTAAAACACCCTTCACCAGAATGAACAGAAGGAAAAGGATTTGAAACAGGTTGTTCCGACGTATCTACTATAAAGTAGAAAAAAAAATCATCGGTGGTAGTTGACAAACTCTTGAATGATACGACAACAGATGATGTGTGGGCAAGAATCACTGACAATTTCGCAGTTTAAGGAAATTTCATCTTGGGGCAAATTATCTTACTCATCGACCTAAACCGACGATAAAAATTTACACCTTTTTCACAACATGTGGCTCTTGCATGATGAGGCTCCACCACATTTCACTCTGAATGTCCATTGCTGTTTCATTCAACAGTTTTCAGATAATAAGTAGATGAAACAGCAGAGGAAATAGCAGGGAAGCAGTACCTATTAAGTTTAAGGTGTACTTCAGACCATTAAATACTGAACAGGAATTATGGAGACGGATTTAGAATGTATTGAATATTTTCAAAAATAATGCAGAAACGATGTAAAATATGCATTTCAGTTTTTGTGCTGCCAGTGAATTGGACAGCTTCTTTTCCAATTTATCATCCTAAGTAGGTACTATCTATTTTTTTATTATATTATATACTTTAGGTTTCACCCATGAACAATGTTGAAATAAATGAAAATAACATAACCTGTCTTTTGAATACGTATAGGTTGGTATATATGTCTAATATATGGACACCATATGGATGTCCATAATGGACACCAAATGGATGTCCATAATGGACACCAAATGGATGTCTATAATGGACACCAAATGGATGTCCATAATGGATAACGTATGTATGTCCTAAAATGTGGAAAGCTGATTACCTATGGACATCCATAGGATTTCCTGTGTACACAAAGTGGTTATCCTATGGATGTCCAGGATGTCCGGGTGAGGATATCCATTGGATGTCCAATGGATGAAGGTGTGTTATTAGGGATGGTAAGTAATAGTTGCTTCTGGGGACAAGATGGTCTACCACCAAGAGAATTTGCCTGGTAAATTTGTTTTCCTATTTTCTCAAGAATATCTTGAATAGTGCTTCTCTCCAAGCGAAAATGACACTGGAAATCTATGAAATCAATTTTTTATGATGAATTTGTGACACATGTGAACTGTTTATTTTACCTGAGGTGGAATAGTGTAAAATCACATCTACATAATTCTCAATGCAAACACGTCTTCGTTTAGGAGAGTATTTTTTGTTGATTATACCAGAAGACAACATCAAATGTGATATCTCCTCCTCCATCTCATCATCATCATCATCAAAACAATTTTCGAATGTTAATGTTGTTATTGTTTGGAAGATTGCAATTTTCCTTTTATTCATGATAATTTATTACCAGCTCGAACAATACACAAATTTTAACTACAGTTTACAGTTTGAAAATATATAAAATGATCAAAAACGAAAACAAAATAATAACATGAACAAATTCTTTTTATTTGCGTAATGCGCATGCGGTGCCTTTGTAAATTCTGATGACCCTGCTTTCGAGTAGGGTGACGATAGACAAACCCGAGTTGATGATCGAGTAGGCAACACTGAAGTTTACGAACACGGGTATGCAACTCGGGTTAGGTTAACGAACGTGCAGGTTGAGGATCGAGTCAACAAGGGTCAACCCGAGTAGGTTTCCGAAAACGCCTAAAGACTCGAGTGAGAATAGAGCATGCATTTGGCTTATTGAAACGTCGCTTTAGGTTGAAAGAATTATTAGACATGGAAAAACACCAAGATATAGTGATAGAGATGATATTCAAGATTATGTAAATATAGGTATGACAGATATTAATTTGATCAATAATGGAGTAAGACTAGCCAATCAAGATGAAGAAGAGGGAACCATTAGAAGAAATAATATAGTCCAAGATCTATGGGCCCCTAGACTACAGTGAATTTGAATGTTTGTACAGCAATCATAATAAATATATTGTAGGAAATTACAAGATGATTATGATAGGAATAATTATTATCAATGTCCTTATGTTCTCAAAGATTTATTTTTATAGAAACAAATAAACATTTTTTATATATAAATGTATTGAATTATTCAAAGAAAGAACATTTTTTCCAGGCACAGAATCAGGTACAAACTTGAAATCTCACTGAGAATAACTAATACCTACCTAAAAATACATTGAAATAAGTGTTAAATCAGATTTTATTTCTCTACATTCTTTGTTTTCAAGATATCCAGAATTTCTGCCATCATCTGTTTGTTCTCCTGGTGCTGTTTTTCTACCAACTGGAGTCTTGCTCTTTCCCTGTCATCAACATCTTTCTTATATTCTTTCAACCACTTCAACATTTCAGCTCTTGGAGAACTACGCTGACAAACTCTTTTCTTAATTGGTTGGCCACTTCACTTTCTTTTTCTGCTTTGTGCTTTTCTTCACAAGGTTTAGAGGTTTTCCTGGTTACAGTTTGTGATGCTGACAAACTTGAACAGGAGGCTATAGGAGTAATCCCAGGACGATCACCAATATAGTCTGCCATTTCTTGATAATACTGCCACTGTTTAGGAGTATTTCCTGATCTCCCATTATAATCTTTGATTTCTTTATACTTGCAAATAAACCTTTTCATCTTATTACAACATTGCTCTGCAGTAAAATTATTCTCATGATCTTGCATCTCCTTAGCAATCTCTTTATATATTTCTATTTTTTTATAACGTGGATTCCGCAGGCGATCTGCATTCTTTTTGCAAAGGGTTATGAATAGGAGCGTTTGGGTTCTATCCTAAAAATTTGCTTTCACATTTTTTGAAGAGTTTTTGTAGTTCATAGACTCCTGGAGTATATCTGATTCATTCTCTTGCTCTTGAACTGCTGAACTTGAAAGAGATGCGTTAGACTCCTGGAGTATATCTGATTCATTCTCTTGCTCTTCAACTGCTGAACTTGAAAGAGATGCGTTTCTTGAGTTATTCACTTCCTCTAACTCAACAACTTGATAGGTTCCACCTGAAAGTAGGTTTACCTTCAAAATAGGGACATGACTACTTTTATATTGAACTCACTTCGAGGATTGAACCATAAAATTTCTCCAGAGTCGGTTTGCACCAATGTACGCAACTGATTCACCTTCATGTTTCAATTTTCGATGTTTTGAGTTATAATTTTGTTTCTAATAATTCAATCTAATCCAAATTAACCTCAAACAAAAACAAACACATGGGCTCAAACAAATTGACCGTAAACTGTCATTCCGATCATTCTGTCCATATCGATGGAATGAAAAGTGGCAAACGGAAAGGAATGTTGTGTGCAATCAAACGACAGGAATGACGAAACCGGTAGCGGTTTGATATGAAACAAACGCAACTATAGTATCAAAAACGGTACGATAGCTAAAAGTGAATGTTAACGTTACACGGAAATCACAGAATTTTCAGATCTGGAAGAGGTTCTGTGGCACATACTACAAAATAGTTGTATGCATGGTGTTCTGTGTGATGAAATTAATCATAAATGTTACGTCAAACAAATGGTGTTTTGTTTGGTTTATGTTTTTATGCTTCTATCACAGAATACCGATCATTTGGTATTTTGTGTTCTGTGCTTCTATTCTATTATTCTAAATTATTATAATTGAGAATTATAATACTACATTTCCATTCCATTATTCCATTATTTATACCGAAGAGGTCCTCAGTAATAATCAGTAAGTTGTCTTTTTTCATTCATCATACTTCACTTCTAGTGCCTCCACAATATACGCAAAAGTATTGAACAGAATGGGAAAAAAAATCAAAATTTCAAGGATTTCAACCTTTTAGATCTGATTCAACGAAAGCTTTCTGTAAATATTGTGAAACAATTTTGACATTTAAACAATGTGATCTACAAAAACATGCGAGAGAAAAAAACACAAAATTGCTGCCTGTTCAATGCTAAAATATGTTGGTAATGGTGTCTACAATTTTGTTATGTTAGTTGGTATTACTGTATACTGTATAGACAAGGGAAGTATGATATGTCTGAGATGTCTTATTTTCTGTGAAGTAACAACGAGAGTTGGTACAAGAAAATGAAATGGCGTAGAATGTAAAAAGCTTGTTCATCATCAAAATATTCATAAAATATAGAAAAAACATAGTATTTAGAAGCAGTATAATATAAGCAATCAAAACAAAATATTGACAGGTTATGGGCCTAGCAAGCTGAAATAGTAAAGAATGAACTTAGAAAAAACAGTGTCTTTCACAAATAATAGACACAAGCAAACAAAAATGGCCACCAGAGAAGAAATGAAGGAAATCCAAATTCCCAATGTGGGAATTTGAACTAAAGATTTTATTCCAAGCAAAAAACGTGCTGGATATTGTGACTGGCACAGGAGTGCAACCAACTGGTCCTGAACATCAAATACAAGTTGAGAAGTGGAAACAAATGGATGCACAATCTAAAAACTACATCCTGAGAACTGTTGATAGGATTGCAAAAATTCACCTGATTGCTTGTGAGACATCAAAAGACATGTTCTCAATGCTTGTGAAAATTTACAAAAAGGGTACATCTCAACAAAAATGTACACTTCTTCAAGAATTCCACACCTTCGAATTTGAATCTCACAAGGATGTGCCTACAAACATATAAGTGTACTTCTAAGCATCACACACAAACTGAAAACCTTGAATGAAGAAGTAAAGGACTCAATGATAATAGCTTAAATCCTATCCAGTCTACCAGAGGAGTACAAACACTTCAGCAGCGTTAGGGACTCTGTGGCTGAAAGTGAAGAGACACTTGAAAATCTGAGTGCAAGACTGTGTGCAGAAGAAGATAAGTTGAAAAAAGGAAGTAACCAGAATGAAAGCGTAGCCTTTGAAACTACAATAAGAAAGGATAACAAATACGAAGGAAAGTGTTTCAATTGCGACAAATTTGGACGAAGAATGAGAAATGTTCCATTTGTAAGAAATCAAATCATAAAGAAGAGGACTGCTGGTTTAAGTCAGAAAAATTAGAATAACACTCAAATTCAAGACAAGCTTTGTTACACTTGCACGTTGCGATCCGACGGTTAATATCCTAGAAACGAATATAGCAATCCAGAGTTTATTTTTCAAACATTACATGCCATTCGTTCCCTTATGGAGTGACATTCTTTTGACAAACAAAGAAAGGCTTAGTAATGCTCCGGTAGAGCGATGGTTTGGGTTAGGGAAAAATATTCTTGCTAAGGGAATTATGGGCCAAAGGAGTAGCCGGGTAGTTAGGAAACTCAGGAAGTACATTTTGTTCATCCTGAAAGAAATCACTTTCAAAATTTCAAGAACAAAGTGTTGTAAGGAGAATACAGTTGAGATTCTTGACGAAGATATATGGGATAAAAAAGGAAAGCTGCTTCATAATAATTTTTTTGGGTACATCATTGTGACATGCATTGAAAAATTCTCAATCATGTCAGTCTACCAGAAGTATCGATCCAAATTTATGCATTTATCAACAGGGTAAACTAGGTTTCGAAGCTGATTGGATACAATGTGACAAATGCGATGGGTGGGTACATCTAGTCACTAGATGTACCCACCCATCGATACAGTATCGAAAACTTAGATACGAGTTCAAGTGGAGATTTTTTTTGTAAATTTCGTGATCCTGATGAACGTGTATCATCAACAAAGTTTACTGAACATCCTGGAGAAGATATGTCAACTATCGATGAGTTTCCGAAGTACACAATCATTTGTATTTCTTTTCTTGACAAAAATTTTAGAAAATCTGACATGCAATTAAATCAATGCAAATTCACAAAATGTACCAATTCATAGCTGGGTCACCTGATGGATTGGTATCAACTGATGGCATGATTGTTTAGTTGAATGTCCATATTCATGTAGAAATTCGGATCCAAATTAAGCATGTAGTCGAGAATTGATCAGATATTTTGAAGAAGAAACTGGCAATATTTTCAAAAAGCATAATTACTATTATTAAGTTCACGGTCTTCTTGAAATCACGGATAGGGAATTGTGCGATTTTATAATCTGGACATTTATTTTCGCATTTATAGAGATAAAGAATGTTGGAGCCGATTATGTCCGAAATTACGTAGATTTTTTCTCATTATAATGTTACCTAGCATATCGAATGCCTCAACTACTCCTACTTTTGTTAAATGGAAACCAGAGAAGGATATATCAATTTTAGCGAACGGGTTAATATCCGACCCAGAATATTAAGGGAACATTGGGAGAACGTACTATATTTCATATTTTTTTCAAATTCAAATGTGATTTTGAAGTTCATTTTTATGAACCCATTCAAGAGCACTAGAAGTGAGACTTTTGATTATCTTAAATATTTACTGAGGTTTTTAGAATTCTATAATGAAATCAATGGATGTCATGTTGATATTTCGAATTGGTCAATTGAAATTAAAGAGTACGACAAACAAAATGACGCCTTCAATTGTGGAGTTTTTATAATATGTTTTTTTTAACAAAATTGTGAATGGGGAAAGTTTGAGTAACAACATAGATATTATAAATTATAGACAAGGGTTTTGAAGGATATTATCATACGTTCATCCGATAATATGTCCCAGAAGTGTTTCTTGTGTGGAAATGAAATCATTGGACCATCACGTGAAGTAAAATGTAATAGCTGTTGCAGAAATCGGTCACGTTGAATGTGTCATTCCTGAAACTCATTTGAGTAATGATTCGTTTCAATACACATTCGGTATTTGCCCATTGTGTTCCAAATATTGACTTGGTGAGGAAATATTATTATTTTTTTACAGAACGTTATTTGAGTCTAATTTGTGATAAATAACTATTATTCGTGTACTTTGTTTTATTCAGCAAAGTTGTTTTATTTATTTATTTATTTTGTTGTTATCAACAGATATTCTTTTGATTTTCCAATTTTTTTGTCACCAGGGAATTGTTTTATTTATTTTTCATGTAGTTTTCAACACCGTGGTGTTTAATTTATTCGTTTTCAACAGAAATTCATTTGAGTTTTATTTCTTGATTTTAAGAAAAAACTATTTGAGTTTCATACATTTATTTTCAACAGGATGTTATTTCAGTTTTTATTCATCACTATGTTTTCATTACACCTATTTTTTTAAGATATTTATTATTGTTGATCAATTTGTTATACTTTTTAGATATTTATTATTGTTGCGTAGGTACCAATGGAACCTTCCCAACCTAGAGCTAACATTTCCAGATTATATTATATTATATATTGTAATTATACCTATATACTCCTGAGGAAGAGCACGAGCATGTTCCATGCCGTTGGGAATTCGAACATTGGTCTCGTCGCACTCTTGGCATGGTTTTTTCCTAACTTAGTAACTAGTCTGATATGAAGCATGTCTAAATTGCAATGACACCATCATATCAATCCGAAATTTATTTTTCACTTTCACCCACGAGAGCTTTTTTTTGTCGAAGTAAACTTGGCATGTATCAATAAGAATTTTGTTGCCTGGCAATTTGACGAAAAAAACTGCCGTCTGTAGGACGAGTAATTTTTTCTGGCAGTTTTTTGAGTTGAATTACCTAATGGCAACAAAGTTCGAATTATGAATGCCAAGTTCACTTCGACTTAAAAGAAAAGCCAGAGTGTAATTCGGTAAGACAATTTAATTCATCAAACATTTTGTTTATG